TGGCAATAAAAGCCTGTTTTGTTTTGAAGCCAAGGAGCACGTCCAGGAGATGAAGAAGGAGCTCGATGCGCTGCTGCAAACAGCTGAGAAGGCGTTTGCAGTGGAGCTGCTGACGATGCCGGCTGCCATCAGGAAAATGAAAAGGAAAGACTTGCTCAGTAAGTGTGAGGGGCCCTGTCCTTGCGAGGGGTGTGGGCAGGACTAGGGCAGGATGTGTCTGTGACTGGTGTGAGAAAACCTGTAAACTTGGGGACTTTTATGAACAAATTTGCTTTGTCTGGTGAGTATTTTAAGCTAATCAGCAGAGCTGTTACCCTGCAGATGCTCACTGAGCACTCTTGTTCAAATAGACTGATACCTGTAAAACAGGGTGTAGAGTTAGTGTGTGTATAGAGTCTGGAGGGTTTTATGTGTGCTCTTAAGTAGTCTCATTTAAAGTCTGAAGAGACAAGGAATAATTACAGACCTAGTGTTTTCTGTGCATGAAAACGTAAGTGCTACTGTCCATCTGATTGTTAATGCCAGCAACAGAGATTTTTTTTGTCTTTCTCAGTTTGGAGTCTTTTCCTGCTGAGCCTTTCTCAGCTAGTTGTTCATCTGTGCTGATAAGCAAGCAAGTTTAATTTTAACTCCCATTTCTGCAGCAGTTTAAGATGTGGTATACACTCAGCCTCAGATATATATTCTGGTGAGAACTGATGTTTTTGGAATCTACCTTGCACCTGGAAATTGCAGGGGCCACACAAAGATCAAACTTAAGACTCTTGATGAACTTGAGTTTACCATAAGCCTGAGTATGTATTTCAGTGCTTTTCTTGAGAAATTTCTGCCTAAAAGCATTAGCTTTCTGCAGTACAATGTATGTTTGTGGTTCTTCTTGGAATTTGTTATATACTGTGTGACTACACTCAGTATCCTTTCAAAGAATTAACATCCTGAAATTTTCATGGTTTTGTAGGATGACTGTTGTTCTACAAGACTTGAATCTTGTTCCAATGCAACATGTATGCTAACTAAGGTTAACTATTTAAGCCATTGTAATCCTGAATTACTTGTTCTGCTTCATAGGCAATAAGATAAAAACTTGAAGATAAAAATTTTGCAAGTAATAGTATCTAAACAAGTTACACTTTCTTGAGTTACAGATTTGCAAGGAGGGGAGGAAGTGGCTCTTGCTGCTGCAGTGGTAAGTGTGTGTTTTCAAATTTTATCACAGTTTACAGAATAGAATTCTTCTCTCCCTGCTGTAAATGTTTCAGACAAAATATTTTGTTTGGCTGTGTGTTTAAATAGAAGATGATATGAAAAGACTAGACAGCCAGTCACAGTGCAGTTATGAACATTACCTAAATTTTAAGGTCATCTGTTGGCAGAAATCCAGATGTTTCTGAAAAAATAAACTGGTGTTTAGCCAATCCCACTTCTGTCACTTGCTTTCATGTGCTTCTGTAACATAATATTCATCTACTGGGCAAACTCTGTTGACCTTTCCTTGTTGTATAAACACTTCTTTTTCAGACTGACTGCTCTCTAGAAGACATACCAAATCCAAAACTGGTGAGGACCAACAGCAAAAAAGGCAAGTCAATCCATTAATACATAGCTTGTGGTTCTTAAATTTTATTTTTTTTTATTGGTTTGAACTGAGCATTTGTAAAGGAAATGTTAAGCCTGAAGAATACAAGAAGGGAAAGTGTATAACAGTTCCCCCCAGCATTCAGTGTGGAGGATCATGAGTTATGCTACTGTTGAGGTACTTTAAAGGATAAGAGATCCTGCCCTTTGGATTTATCACTAAAAATGGTGAGAAGAGACAGATTTAAGTGACTTGTTAGTGGTTTACAGTATAGCAGAAGAGCTAGGAAGGTCACCCCTCTTTCCTTGCTTCCCCTTTGACCTTCTGCCCACCGAGCTTTGTAAGAAAAACACCATTTTTCTTCACATCCCAATATATGCAATAAGGAGGACACTGAGATGTAAATCTGTTTTGTCTGGGAGTTAAGGGATTATCTGGTGTCTTTTAACTGCCCTGTGTGTCCCAGTGTCTGCAAGGAACAGAGACAGTTTGTTTTTAAGTGTGTCCAGGTGAATGACCATTGTGGAGCAGCAGTGACATGTAACTGTCAGTGGGGAAACAGGCTTTAAACACAAGTCTGAAGTGGTGTTTTGTGCTCTTCATGAGATTTTTATTTTCCTTGTCTTGCTAATACGTTTCTAGTTAAGGTAACTACAATTGTCGAATATGAAGATGCCAAGCACAGTTCTGCAAAGACAGTAACTAAAAAAGTAAGTCTATTTTTTCTTTATATTCAAAAAACATAAGGGCTTAGTCAGTTTTGACCTGCCGTGAACCCTGCCAGATCCATGACCAGGCAGGCCAGTGAACTGCTGATTTTTTGAAAAATCAGTTGTTTTAAATCTAAAATATTTGAAGTTAAGCAAGGCTAAACAGTTTACTAAATCATTTTCATAAAGAAATATAGTGTCTGCACTTCCAGTGACTAATTCACACAGACTTGCAAATACTGGCAGTCATTCTCTCTTGACTTGTCAGTAAGTCTTGAAGCTTTGAGAAACCATTTTTTGTTCAAACTTAGTTTTTAAAAAAACCTGCCTGTTTTAATGAATTCTTTTCTATATTTGAATGACTTGTGCATTC